CTAGACCCTTCTTCAGAAAAAAAAATTCTGAAGAAGGGTCTAGGCCCAAAACGTCAGCTTTCCTGCTCCTCTGATGCTGCTTGGCCTGCTGTGTTCATCCAGCTCTACAACTCAACAGTCACAGACTGCTAACTTGAAAATTTCCTGTTTATAGAGTGTTAGTGGTCATGAAACAGGCCTAGAAATGCAAAGGCTCAGGATATTGTTTTGAGGACATGGGTTCAAATCCCTGTATAACATGCTAGTGGAACTGAAATTCAATTAATAAGTCTGGAACATAAACCCAAGCTCAATGGTACTGACTAAAAGAAAGATGTTTAATTGTTGTAAAAACCCATCTGATACACTAACGTCCTTTAGGGAAAGAAATCTTCAGTTCTTACCCAATCTGGCCTTCATGTGACTCCAGATCCACAGAAATATGGCTTATTCTTACCTGTCCCTAGGAAGGCCTAGCAAACCACTCAGTTCAAGAACAATTAGGATGGTCATCTCCCATGACGCAACAAAGAAGCAAAACCTGATTCTTTGTGTCCTGTCTGTTAACCAATAGTATATCCCTATTAATATATTATCCCCAACTCCATGAGCCTTCGTTTTGTCTATTAATCTTTATTAATCTACCTTACTGTTTACATCCTTAAAAACTCTTTTAAACAAAATGTCCTTTCATAAAACCATGTGGACAGTGATGATCTTTTCTTTGCTGATATTAATTACCTTAATTTCCTTGCTCTTATCAGTTCATTCGTTACTCACTTTCTGGTATGTAACTTGTGTCTCCCTACTAATAAGACACAAAAGAGTTGTTCAATGTCTCACTCATCAATGGACAAATATTTACTTTAGCTACTCTCCTTTTTAAATAGTTGTAAAAACAATCCTCAATCTGTGCTAAAATATTAACTCCAATTCCACAAGCCCTAATCCTAAGTGAAACTGCATGCTTCATAGCAGAAGGACGATAAGTGTCAATCTGAGGCTTTGGAGTAAGACTGAGGTTAAATCAGAAACATTGCATCACATCCTGAACCATGCATGAATTATATCTAATGAAAGTTATAATGTTAACAACATCAAAAAGTAATAATTAGTTTCATTAATTCTAAGCAAAGTCTGTGGTCATGTCAGGAATGTTCAGGAATCATGTGTTATTTCCTTGAGCAAAGCAGATCTCCAGATGCTGTTAGGTCATAAATTGCTCAATATGATCTGTATAACATGTGTCCCCATTGGCAAACTCTTTCCAGGCAAAATTACTGTTATCAAAGGCTGAACACGCTCCACTCTTCAAGAGCAGATCTAGATATTCAACCTAATACTTGGATATGGCCATTTTTCAGCAATGGACTCTAATGGGACAGAAAATCTAGCTCATTGTTATTCTAATTTCCAGACCAATCACATACTCAGTCTGCCAATGACAGCAGAATGGACATTGTCTTTTTTTTGAAGGCTTTTAGCATTTGTGATTTTTTTTAAACCTTGAACATGTTACCTCTCAGACTTAATCTCTCTCACTAAATGAAGAAAGCTTACACTTGTTCAGGACATGTCACAATATTACCATACTTTTTAGTTGGCTGACGTTAATAATCTAACAAATCTGAATTTTATTTCCCTAAACATTCTCGACGTGGGTGTCACATGTCACCTCTTGTTTAAATATGGTTTTAAATTATATAAAAATAATGAGGTTGCTTGTCTCAATGCATGAATAGCCATAATTATCTGTGAAAGCACAAGCAGACTGGCTCATAGTATTAAGTATAATTGTAAATTTTCAGTGCACTGAAGCAAATAAGAACACACTAATCTGTGATTCTTGTTTTAAAACACACAAGCGTAAGCTTTGAATAGTGTTCTTATCTTAAGCTGCATTTCATCACACACACTAAATCTTTCGTCTGCTATGCTGTATTTATGGATCACTCCAACATCATTTCTACCAGCATATTAACAAGATCTAGTACATGCATCTCAAATTTGCTTTAAAAGCTGGATAGCAAATGGGGCATGCACATTAACAGAAATATGCCAAATTTGAATTTTTTATCTTTATTATGTTCTGAAATATAGCTCTCTGAAGAATCAAGTGTTCTGTTGTTTTGTGTATTCAGCAAATTTTTAGAAAGCAGTACTTCTGTAATCATAAGGATGACACTGAAAAGCTGGGAACAGTGCTCTCAGTATTCCTATTTATTGCTTAAACACAATAATGAAGGATTGAAATGGATTTCTGGTTTGTGACTGCAGAAAACATAGCAAATAAATTAGATTATATACCAGAAATTAAAGGATAAGGAAAGCCTAGGGGGAGTACTTTCAGTACAAAGTAATCTTACATCTGTACCACTACAAATAAAAATTGAGGAATATGTTTTCTGCACATGGAATCCTGGCATTTTTGATTTTTTTTGCAACTAGCTGAGTTAATAGGGATGACTTTAAGTACATCTAGGAATGGCTCTGCTTCTTTAAATTGAAATTATTACATTGGACAGGGATGAAAAGTATTAGCCAGGAGAAGTTAATGTTGGTTGGGTACTATATTCAAAAGGATACCTATCTTTAAATGTCTCTAATTATACTCTCTCCGACTCGTGGTAAATATGAAGGCCTCTTATTCCAGTCGATTTTGCGCTCAATTTCTGGTATACCCTCCTTCTTCCTTGCAAGGTCGTAGTTTATGTAATTAAGCAAATTTGCTTGTGAGCCCAGCTTTCCAGTAGGTGCGCTGTACCAACCAGTGTTTTCTACAGGGGACGGCAGAAAGGAGAAGGTATGTCAACTGTGAAAGGCATCACAAATCCTTCCCTGACTTCATAGTGTTAGCATGGCTCAATTTTGAAACAAGATCGGTTCACCTTGAAATGGGAAATCCATCCATACCCCCAATCAAAACAAAACGTAATAAATAAGAATGGGAGGAACGTTAGGTGGCCTATTTCATCCGTACTTTTTCTTCATATAGTCTAGGAAAGCTTTCAAAAGACTTAAATACTCACTCAAGATCCAATTTTCTTTTATTTTGAAGTTGCTGGGATAATGTTCAACAATCAACAACACCTCTCAGTAGCTCATTCAAGCCACTGATTTTCATTTGGTGCAGCACTCCTCGAAATGGAGTGTATCAAACTGTGCTTGATCCTAACTGCACCTGACATCAATACACATACACAGGAAATACCAGGAGCTTACAAACAGCTGTACTAAGGCAGGTGCAGCCCCAGAAAAGAAGGTAAGGCATTCTGAAACACAACCATGTGAGATCTAGTAATCATTTTTCTAAAGGACTGTTGATAATGCTCCCAAATGCCAATAGTAATTCATAGATAAAAGATATGATTATTAGGGTCAAAGGCTTATTTGTGGGATAAAGGTATTTAAATAGAAATAAATATATTAAGATTATATAGTGCATTGGCCTTCAGTACAGGGCTACACATAGTCCGGTCAGAAATCCAGCAATGGACGGAAAGACCACTTTTCAATCCAGGAATTAGCACAGGATCCTTTCAAATATTTTAGATAATAGTGTAGATTGTGGAGAAAATGTTGCTTCTGTTAAATTTTATTATTTTTGAGAAGTGCAACAGGAATTGTGAATTGTTGAATTGCAATGTGGATCTATTCATTCTGATGCTGTTGCCGTATCATCACTGGATACAGGCCTGGAACGTCAATGTTGCATGTCCTCATATATGAGCTGATACGCTAATACAGCTGAACATTGTAAATGTAAAAGCAACATTCCAGGAGTGTTACTCCCTAAAGACTCAGGCCATAGGATTATTAAACTTTATTTTTTAAAAGGACTGTCCAGAGGCTACATGAATTCTGTAAAGCGGGTGAGATAGGGCTAAATTGAGAATTAAGGTTGTAACTCCACAGCTCCCATTTTCTAACGTTCACTTTTGACTGGTGAGGTTTAGCTTTGAAATTTTGTGAGCTGGTTCAAAGTCAGTTCTACTGTTTTACAGGACATCCAGGCATCCTGGGAGCAATTGGATCTGACACTGGTGTAGAATGTGGTTCATCTGGATGCTCCTCCTTTCTTGGCTGTACGGCAGGTTCCAGTGGAGGACAGAGATATTTGTTTAGTCTATTCTTTATGCTCTGACATCAGTTCTGTGGGCATGTCTGGGGACAATCCCAGGTTTGTCTAAAAGTCCAGACATATCAACATGATCCAAAAGAAGGATATGTGCCATTGTGGGTCCCATTGAGAATTCATTATGACCAACTGTGATTTGATATTTGAGTTATTCAGCACACAGGGAGGACACTCACTGTATGTGTGTTGGCCCCTTTGAACTATCTCATCAGTCCCACACTCCTGCTCATTCCTCATTGCTCTGCTCTTTTCAAGTATTTATTCAACTCCTTCTTGATTGTTACAATTGAATCTGCTTCCATTACCCTTTCAAGTAGTGATCTAAAAAGATCATAATAACACAATGCATTAAAAAAAACTTATCTCCTTTTTGACTCTTTCGACAGTGGTCAGCATCAAGGAACCAATATCTAAAGGAAGAATAAGGGACCAGGACCTTGGGCCACACTCCATGATCAGTAGAGAAGCAAGGAGCCACCTTGTATTTCTAGCAGGTCTTTAGGTACCCTTCGAACACCGATATTAGTATGGACCTGCACCCTAACTAACCCGAGCATGGAATGAGCTTGTGCCAGAATCAAAGGATTGGGCTAACCTGTCAAGTTTTCTTGAGGTTTAGCTTGTTTGGTGAGTTTGGGAAGATATAAAGTTGAATATAATGAAGTGAGGTGGGCCATCAACACAACTTCTAACAAGCAATAACTGTCCTCAGTTGGCAACTCATTTTGTCTAGCAAGGAAATCACTGTGCTGTTTGTGAAAAGCATAAAAGATGACGTATTGCTCCTGACATCGAGATGGGCCTTGCTGGACTTCTCTTCCAGTTCTGCCACAGCCCATTCAGATCAGACCCTTACAGACTGTTGAAACAATAGAGTTTTTCCCATGTTGAATTTTTAAAAAAAAATCTATTCAGATGTGTTATGACACAACTCTGGAGAAGTTGGGATTTGAACTCAGGCATTCTAGCTCAATTGACTTTAAAAAAGCATCAAAACAATAATTTAGTGGAAGCTTCTTCAATAAGATGTTCTTCAAGGGAAAGCTGGGATAGACTGCCAGCCTAGAGTGATCTGCAATGTACATATGACATTACATCAACGTACATTAATCACCTTTTAACAGTAGAGTGTAAAGTCAATTCTGTACACCACATCCAAAAACTATAAAAGGTGAGAAATCTTCAATTTAGTTTGAGAATGCAATTGATAATATATTCCAAACTTTTTCTGTATAATATTCTTTAATAAAATTTAAAGAATATTTTACTTGATAAGCTCTGAAGGAAACCCAATTTGTATGCATCCAAATGCAAAGGAAATTCAATATTTTCTTATTAGGTGTTCCTTCCACTAGTACTAGACTGTATTAAATTCCAACAGTAGAACCAGAATCTAAGCTTCACCATCCTTTACTTATGTTCTCCGTGTAAACAATGATATCTTATAGAATCATAGCGTAGGCGTACATCTGGCCTATTAGGTCTATGCCAGCTCGTTAGAAGGGCTATCCAAATGATCCCAGATTCCCATTCGTATATCTGTGCTACAGTCTGTGTTGGAAATCAAAGGTAAAAAATAAATTTTGAAAAATGCAAAAGATTATTAAATGACAAAGCTTCAAGTGAAAGAAATGAAAGCTGAATCAACACTAAACATGTAACAAAATACAATGGTTATCTCATCAAATTGCAGGATAAATTTTCAATTATTGAAGTCATAAGCTGAATGTTTAGTGTGAAAGTACAACATTCCTGTATGGATGGCTTTACAACCACAGTCCACGTTGTTCGAGCCTTTGTAGGATTCTGCTCAAAGTAACAGAACATCTGGTTTTTGACGAAGTATCTTTACATTTGTCCTCATAAATGAGGAACTGAACTGTGAAGTTAGACTAAACATTGGAAAGATTCGGGAAGAATTTTAAAAGCATATATTGAACCATACACTGGTGGGAAATTAGAACAACAAAGCAATGTGCAGTCAAAGTGGTTAAACACAAACTATATTTCAAAGAAATATGAAATAGAAAATAAATACAACTTGACAAGAATGAAAAAAAAATTAGGCAAGAGAAGAAGAGTAGTACAACCAGCAAAAAAAATCCTTGGTATACATTTCATGAACACAGAGAAAAAGAAGTAAGGACACTTAGAAGTGGGAGGATTTGCAATAGCCAGGGTGGGGGATGGTACACCTTTTAAATAACTTTCCTTTGGAATTCAGAAGCTAAGATCAATCCTGCACTCGACTCCATGTGTTTCAAACAGAATTTCTAACCTTACCGACTCAAACAGAAGCAAAAGGAACTGGAGATAGTGGAGGAGATTGAAAACTAGGTATAGCTTAAAAAGACACATACGGATTCCCTCGAGTCAAAAATGAATTAGAAGGAGAAACTGAATATTGTAAACCTAATTCTGATTTTTACAAAACGCCAGAGAAATAACCAAAATAATGTAGTCTGGAAAACTAACAATCGTAGGTGCAAAAAAAACAAAATGTCTGGTAAGGAAGTAAATTACAGTACATTAGTGACAGAGTGGAATATAATGGATTTACAAGAAGCAGCCACAACATGAATTAAGTGGTCTTTGCTGAAAATGTTTTATGCAATGGTGGAATTAACTTGATTCTATTTGGTACAATACTTTACACTTAGAGATAGGCCATGTGCAATACTCAGAAGGGGAAATTAATCAGGAAATTCCAACTGTTAATAATAGAAATGCATTGATTATAGAAACTTTATTGTATTGATCTTTGGACCTCTTCTATTCTCAGTCTTTAAAATTCTTCCCATAGCAGTATTTAAAAATACCTAACTTTAGTGATTATGTTACATTGTGTTGGAAGAAAAAATGTACAAATAATATTATACAAAAGAAATTCCTAGTGAGTTATTAAATTGCTCCTGATCTGAACTGTATATTAAGTGCAGTACATGGAATGCAACATCAACAACAACAACAACTTATATCTTAAATGTGCTTCTATTAATATTCACTATAGTACTTAGACAGCCTGTGATGTGTATTGGTAGTGCTGTGAAAGGAGTTTTTAATATTATGAGTGTCACTTCTTGCCTGAATCTCACTGATTCAGCCAACTTGCGTTCCACATGGTAGGTTCTGTTTTATATTAAGTTCAATTACTTAGTTTCAGAAGTTACACGACACCAGGTTATAATTCAACAGGTTTATTTGAAATCACAGGCTTTCGGAGCACTGCTCCAAAGAAAAGCACACAGGCACAGAATTTATAGGCAGAGAGATCAATAGGCACAGAATTTATAGGCAGAGAGATCAACAGGCAGAATGATCAAATGATCATACAAATGGTGTGAGTGAAGTGTCGACAGGCTGAATAATAGGTCTCTGCAGGTGATCATCAGTGTCAGACGGTGTGAGTAAAGTGTCAACAGCTGAATAACAAGTGAAGGGATAACCTAGGCAGAATGATCAAAAGATCTTAAAAACGCTGTGAGTAAAGTGTCAACAGCTGAACAGCAAGTGGAGGGATGACCTATAATCCGATTCAAAATCTCCCCTCCCCCTACCGCATCCCAAAACCAGCCCAGTTTGTCCCCGCCTCCCTAACCTGTCCTTCCTCCCACCTATCCCCTCCTCCCACCTCAAGCCCCACTCCCATCTCCTACCTACTAACCTCATCCCGCCTCCTTGACCTGTCCGTCCTCCCTGGACTGACCTATCTCCTCCCTACCTCCCCACCTACACTCACCTTTACTGGCTCCATCCCCGCCTCTTTGACCTGTCTGTCTCCTCTCCACCTATCTTCTCCTCTATCCATCTTCTATCCGCCTCCCCCTCTCTCCCTATTTATTTCAGAACCCCCTTCCTCTCCCCCATTTCTGAAGAAGGGTCTAGGCCCGAAATGTCAGCCTTCCTGCTCCTCTGATGCTGCTTGGCCTGCTGTGTTCATCCAGCTCTACACCATCTTATTCCAGCCGTTTAGTTTGTCTCCAGCACAGCCTTATTTTAATTTTTTTGTAATTATCTCTCTGCCTCAATTAATCGGATTATAGGTCATCCCTCCACTTGATATTCAGCTGTTGACACTTTACTCACACCATTTTTAAGATCTTTTGATCATTCTGCCTATTGCTCTCTCTGCCTATAAATTCTGTGCCTGTGTGCTTTTCTTCACTTCACCTGACGAAGGAGCAGCACTTTGAAAGCTTGTGATTTCAAATAAACCTGTTGGACTATAGCTTGGTGTTATGTGACTTCTGACCTTGTCAACCCCAGTCCAACACTGGCACCTCCACATTATTTTTACTTAGTTTTAACTTTTTCTAGTTGCTTCAGGAAAGTCCTTTAAATGAGATTTTCTGCTTGTTCTCCTTGCCAATCTTGCTGATTACATTTTTTTTGTTTCCAATAAAAATGTGATGAAAAGAGTGTAAAATGTATTATTATTTTTGGAATTTAGATTGTTTGTGAAAAAATCCAAGAGAGAGACTTAGCTCAATACTGTGTAGGTTTATATTAAATAAAGGTCAGAAAGTCATTTTGGAACAGTGACATAAATGTACCAGTAGCTAGGAGGCATGTGACTTCCATCAAGGCCTTGGGAGAGGTGCTGGAGTACTAATGGGATAATGTATCTACAGTTTTGGGTTTATGACAAGCGGGTTTAACATACTAAGCTATTAGTTTTATTTTTAGTTCAGTTCAGAAAACACCAGAATTTTTAGTTGAGAAGAATTAAGAAGCAAGTTTTTAGTTTCTCTCCCAGCAGGTTTTAGTATGGATCAGTTTGATTTAAAGGAAACCAGTTGCTATAGGATCAGTGTCTTTTAAGTTTGTGAAGTATCCAGTCAGGAGAGTTTGGATAGAAAATTTCTATTATTAGTAGTGAGAAAGTTGAAGCTCTCAAATTTGTGAAAAATTAATGACAGCAGATTCTGAGAGGAATCATCAAATTGTCTTCAAAGCCTACAGAAAAGTACCCGGAAGAGGTCGATCTAAAGAGCTGAGATGGGAGTACAAGTTTTCCTGCTTTGAATTTCTGTAATGGATAGTGTACAACCAAATTGAAACTTTGTGTCAATATTTGTGTTAAGACCTATCCAAACACAATATATAAATTTTACGTGCAGATATTGGTTTCTTTCTTTTCAATAAAAAGGTTATGTTCTGTTGTGAGAGAACATCTGCAGGCTCATGCGAATATATTTTAGCGACCAATCAGTAAGTTAACTAATAAAACAATTAAACATATGATCTATGAAAGTTTTCATTCTGGCATGACTTACCCAGTAGTACTGTTAGCTATGATGATAACAAAAGTCATTCTACTT